ATTCACAATATAACAGTAATGGAGATATTCGATTTCATGGATTACGTAAAACCTTAAATTTTCATTCGCATGCCTATGCCTTTATTTTTTCATTGTGATTTCCTTCCAAATATGTACCATGCAATTGATTCATAACGTTCGCGTTCAATGAGAATCTACCTCGTATTTGTAAAACAAGCTCGTTAGAATCATTTGCACTTAGTGTTCTATATCACTACCTTGGTAAACTTTTTGTTTCTGTTTGTTTTGTGTTTTGGTTATTTGATTCATTTACTAAGATATTTTATACTCCCCCCTATTACCTAATTTTTAAAATAAATTTTATTCACACATTTCCACCACCTGATCCTCTTAATTTATCTTAACTTTCCAAATTCTATTCAATTATTATTACGTAACCTACCTTATCATTTTTTAATTCCATTAATCTCTACAGTTATCACAATTTATGAACTTCACTAAATTATTACACCATCCACCCTGAATTAACCCCCTCTTTTCACCTCTGACCTGTTTCTAGCATATATATATATATATATATATATATATATATATATATATATATATATATATATATATATATATATATATATATATATTTATTATTGCAATCCAGTTATTTACACTCATTTATGTCAATTGTTTTCACACTATCTCCATTTAAAAAATTCTATCACAATTTTGGTTTATAAGCAGCTGACTAATTCATACAATTCTGCATCAATGTTTGTTCTTGCTCTATTTAAATTCATAAAGGGAACCAATTGCATGAAAGTTCTATTTTGTATTCAGCCTACATCATTAAACTCAACCGTTGGTATTACTTATCAACAAATCTAAACTCATGCTAAATTCACAACATTCGTTAGAGATTAAAAGTTCTCACATTGAATGATTCTGATGTTCGCTGTAAAAATGATTCAAGAAATTTACACGGATTTACAACGGCATTCACCGATTACTTTGAGTCGTCTTTATTCACTTTATAATGAACAATAGGATAAATGTTTCATTTGGAACAAAGCAAACGCATTTGACTTTTAGCTCATTATTAATGAATGAGTAAAAACCTGAAACCTTAAACTAGTTTTCATGTGAAAGCGTCGTCGTGAGTAAGCTGTAATTGTGATCTTAAGAGGAGTGATGCTTATGATTCCGTGTCTATCAACCTGAAAATTGGAGACGTTGACACTTAAATGGTAGACATCGTAAGCAAATTATCCTATCGATACGGTTTCATTACTAATATCCAATAAAATTATTTTATGTTGTTATCACCCCGATATTTTGATAAAATATTCGGTCTAATAAAGTCACTTTAGAAGTTCAAATTTATCAGGTTGTCACTGCTTTTTGGATCAGAACTTTAGGCTCCGTGTCTGACCTCCTGCAAAATCCACCTGCTTCGGTATGCGTACCCGGGAAGTATCACAGCCGACGTACAAATCAAATGACTTGTGTGATGCATATGAATTTGTTGTCCGTTCGCACCAATATTTATGTATTCAAATAAATAATAATGAATAAATGCATTACATTTTGACTAAATATGGAGATTCAGCACAAAAATATGAGCTACAATTTGTCCTCTCTAAGCTGCTACAAACAAATGTAACTACTCATAGTTATTTAGTATGAATTCGTTTTTTATTCATTGTAATATTTCATAACAATAAGATTGAAATTCCATATTCTTACCTGAAGATATTATTATCACTATTCAAAGATATTTGTTACAATTATTTACATACTTCACAACTCTTATAGCAACTATGCTACTACCAACCTTGGTTATGGGTTATTTTGGTTAAAAACTTCCATTAACTAATATGTTCAGCATAATTGATGAAGACGGCGGATTTGATGCGGATGTGAAGGCGCTGATTGACAAAGCAAGAACAGCATTCTAACATCTGGAGAACATCTGAAACTAAAAACAACTCTCAACCAACATCAAGGCCAGGATTTTCAATACAAATATCAGCAAAATTCTACTGTATGGGGCGTAACCTGAAAAAACACGAAAGTCATCACCCAAAAGATACTGGTGTTTATTACCAGTTTTCAACGGAAAATATGCCGAATCCCTTGGAGAGACACCATTAGCACAAATCCACTATGGAAGTGAACAAACCAGATACCACCTGAGGGAGAACTTAAGAAGAGGCGCTGGAAGTGGATACAACACACATTTCGAGAAATACCCAAGTGATTCACATAGAAAGATCTCCCTCGAAACATTAAGTTAAAGTCAACGAAAAACAAAAAGACCAAATGACTCATTACATTGAGAAGTGGGGACAGACATGACAAAAATTAACTAGAATTTCACTGTTTGAATTCATAAGTCAATTGAAGCTTGACAACCATGGAAAACTAAGTCTTGTATTTGTAAACATGAACGCATGGTGATATGACAGACTCTAACCAAAAATGTTGAGCATTTCAATATTTATTGATAATCCATTCTTTTTTCATGTATATACGTACTCAAATCCTATTATTAGTCTTTGCCTTGTCTAGCTGCGCCTTATTCGATTTGATCTTCAATTTGTCTCTATATTTGCTTCAGTACATACATTCGCCCATGTTCTTCAAATTCGTTTGACGAGCTTGTAACTTTGTGAATTGTACTATCCGCTTCTTAATAAATTCTGATTGCAAACATCGTTGAGATTTCCAATAAAACGGTTACAAAGATGGTCACTACACTTTATTCGTCACGATTAAATTTTGAATAGTTTATGAACTATGCATTTGTAAATGTAATATGAATTTTCCAATACGGACTAGTACGTGTCAAATATGGTATCACTGTCTTCTCTTATCAACCAAACTCTTTTGATATCGCTTAACTATTCAGATTCAATCTTTTATATTGTCTGAGGAAGGTGTGTCTTTTTTTTCTCTCTCTCAGTAACTCAGTTAAGTTTATCGAAGAACATCACGATATGGACTTAGCATTCAATAAAAAAACAAACAAACAATCAACATTATTGATGTAGTTTCGATTTTATAAACACAGGTGTTTACTATTTAACTACTGTCATATAAGGAAAATCAATGAACCAATTGATTGTATATTATTTAACAAATATATTACATTTCGACTATTTATAAGGAATAATCAAGTAGATATTAAAGATTTTTCACCTTTCAAATGACCAAGTGATTATCGCTAAAACTCAGTTAAAATAATGTCAATATTGTAAGATCATTTCTTGTGAACATACAACACTTGAGCATATATCCACGACTTTCAGACTTGCATTTGCACGACTGTATTTTTAACCATTGGTTAAATGTTAAATCGGTGCAGAGAATCAATTAGTGGTAACTGCTAGGAATTATTTATGAACCGCTATGTATATATTCTTATTGCATAACTTTTAGGTAACTGTGATGTGTATCTATTAAAATTTTCTTTTTCGTATAAGCTTCTGTTCGACCTGTCGGTTACTAATATATGATTTACAATTTCTCATTCATTCACGGTTTGTTAGTAATTGTCTCTTTCAATCATAATCACTTTTGGTTTGATTTATATGATTAGTGTTTTCTGTTACAGTATGATGCGATCATTTTCAATTGTCTGTCTGTAATATATAATTTGTATAAAAAAGGCTGATATTTGACGTTCTCGACGTTTCCGTCTGAGTTGAGAAAACTAATGTTTTCCAGATAGAAAAATAAGAAATTTTAGCTCCTCGTATATGTATATGAGTCGATCAATCACATAAGTCGATGTCTTCAATCGGCGACCATATCACATGATGGGATCAATCAAACATATGGACATGACACTCAATATTGTACACAGTTAACGTCTAACTTCATTCATCTCACAATATCGCATGGCAATTATCCATAAAATCTTACTCTCAGAATAACTTATCTCCAATAATCATTACTGCTCACCAAAACACCAAGAGTTGCGCTCTTATATTAAGGGAAAAAGAACATTATATCTCTGTTAGATAACCATCACATCGATTTAAAGAGGTTAAATAAATAGTTAAAGAGTAGTTGCGTGTTGATGATTACAAATAATATCAATCACGTACATTAAGAATAGAAACGCAATACATTGAAGATATAGTACTAGTGACACAGATTTATCCATTGTGATTTCCATTAGGTGACTAACAATATTAAGCGTTTTATGTGCTAGCGGCTAAGTGAGCACCCACCTTCTTCATTTCTTTTCTTTAAAGTTTGCTGTCAAGACTGATACAAATAAGGATGAGTAGGGTCTTGATTTCATAAAATACGTATACCGGATTATTATAATTGGTGATGAAGTAGGTTTTTTATTAAATATAATGTCAGTTTACGAGATATCGGTGCCTGATTTTTATTACATGGTTACTTTTTTCAATCAACATTAAAATAAACGCTTTATCACAATGGGTTTTGTGTAGAATTTACGAAATTTCACAGGTTTTTAAATCATGAGTCAGTTGAAGCTAGACCACCATTGAAAACGTTTTAATTAAAAATAGAATCAACACAATGTTTATCTGTTTATTTCGTTAAATACATAAACATACCATCTTTCATATGTTAAATATTTCTATGGGAATGACGACTTTAAAAATCAACAGACAAACAGTAAACTATTTATCACCTTACGATCAATAACAAACTAGAATTTCATTAAGCAGCTTTGTTAACCGAATAGCCAAGAATCATTCCTATAGAGAATAGAATGTTGAATGAGTTGTTGAATGTCAATCAAACCATGCAGTCCAAACATAAAATTAAACATAGTTAAGTATATGGCCACAGGTGTTCAGGATGTATCAACCTCAACGGTTGATTTTGTTCTCTTTGTCTCCTCTGTACAGCGACATGTTATCATAATATATTATCAGTTTCATGATCTATTGTGTTTGCACGCACGAACAGTGAATGGTTTGACAATCATACAAAGATTGTGTTATTATTTTAAAATACGAACTGACTGAGTGAAATAACGATTTATTCATTAATCCCTGAACATGTGTTGTGGCAAGCACACAACATTATCTCTTAACGGTGTCGGGAATGAACGCCTGAATTCTGCATGTGACTATGATTCGCATACAGTCTGCCAAATACAGGCGATATCTTTCATATCACATACACCTAATCCTGTGAACTATTCAAAACCGCCATTTTACTCACGTAATCTAACAGATCGTCAGATCGTTTTCTTTACTAATACTTATCATATTAGTATCATTTATTCTCTTGCATTACCAGAAGTTATTACATTGAAATATAATAGTTATGATTAGAGGAATATTATTACGTCTTGTTTCTCACATTTACATTTTATGAAACTGGATGTCAAATCACGAGAAAATTCTTAACATCCAATCACATCAAGTTGGTCTGTAAATGTGCATGCACGTTCACAACGTACAGTTCGGTTTCTTTGTTAACCTTCATTTCATGATACACGTAACACGTTTTCTTAACATTGAAACATACAATTGGAATATTCAAACCATGATGTGATAAGAGGTCGAAACATCTCAGCAAAGTAAATTCGATGAACGGTTATCATATCATTTAAAGAATTATTCCAGCTCATTCTAATTCCGTGTCTACAGTTCACTTTGATGAGCATGTCAATCGAAACGTTCTACGCTGAAATACTTCAAATTGCATTTTGTTGATATTGAAGAGAAAATACCTATATGGACTTTTAATGCGTTAAGATACTTAGTTATTTACTCAAAGCAAAATTAGTCATTTAGATTCTAAATCCATTTTCACTGTACTTATTTCTTCAGTAAAGTGTGGATGCAACTACAATCTATTCATCTTGATCAGTTCGTCAAATAATATTTGCAATTAGCATTAAAGCGTATGATAATACGCAGAAATCATCAAACATTTTATGCAAAAATCGATTACAGTAATAGTCACTTTAGGTCTACTGAAAATGGGACATATTTTACGTTTGATCAAATGATAAAAACGAAAATATATGTTTGACTAAATAATAATGCTCTGTATGGATTAGTCTAGTAAACAAACATAATTTTAAATGAACGTAAACATAGACAACTTCGTAAAAATGGAATGATGAAAGCGTGTAATGAACAGCAATCACATCATTACCTCGTAAAGGAAAACAAGAAAATCGTTGACTTGGAACTAACCTCCTAAATGCCAATCAGGCTATTCATTTGTATTAGTTTAATGCAAATTTTAATTTATTAAACTCTCGGACGTTGCCATAATCGACGATAGTTCCAAGAAACAAGCATCACACATAACATCACAGCTTCTACTTATCTTCAGAATTTTACTTCTTTTTATATAGGAAGTGCGTAAATCAGGATAAGGCCGATTAATATTATTATTATTATTATTATTATTATTATTATTAATGGCTTTATTGAGTATTATATTTTGGTACAACACAGAATTCTCAGACTTGTTTATTTCAAGAAGTTACTTACGCAAACAAAACAGTAAGAAATACAAAAAAATGAAAAAAAGGTTTTTTTAAAAAACCGAAAAACTGTACAACTTTTCGAGTTAGAGACATGTTAAGAATGCAGGTTATTGATTAGGTTAACTTTAACAACCTGTTCGTCACAGAGTATATTTGCTAAGAAAGGTATTATAGATTTTTTATATATTTTCCTGCGTGCACGGATGTTTATGTATTTACGTCTCGTTCTACAAGAAGATATGCAAGGAGAAAGATAAGAATGAAGGGAATGGCTACTACCTGATACAAAAAACCTGCCAGGAGTTTGCATGATTTTAAATGTCTATCCACATCCATTTTAATCACGACGTCAAAAGATTCACCACACATCTTGCTAACTGCCTTCAGCAGTCTCCGCAATACAGAAAAGTCTTTCTGTAAAAGTCCCGGAATGAATAATGGAGAACAGTAAAGAATAATAAGTTATATGCGTGAATTAACAAATTATAAGAGTGAATGACGAGTAATCCCAAAAGCATGCAATCTCTTCAGACGGAAATACTTCCTAGATAACAATAACCAAAAGAGATTATTGGAAAAGGTAACACCAATATAATTGACCTTCGACACTATTTATCAAAGGTTGTCTAGTGGCAAACGCACTATGGAATCTCAAAATGGTGTTTAGATTCCGTTCATGTCTCATGCTAACGTTAGCAGCTTGATATTTAGACGGATTAAGTATGAGATCATTACCAACAGACCAACAATCAATACGAAACAAAAACTCATTCATTTCTATGGGATGTAAAGAGAAGAAGATAGGCATACATTCAGTGAGATCATCCGCATATTTCACAAATATGTTTTCTGTGGAAGATGGCAGATTTTAAAGAAAATATGAAAAAAGAAGAGATGAAAGAACAGCTTCTTGTGATACAAATTCATGAGAGGTTCGAGATTCTGAAAACGTTCCTCCCAATATAGTGTACAGTTCTCTTCCAGAGAGATAGGAACATAGCCAGTTGGTTATCTAGCTGTCAGTGTTGACGCTGATTAACTTGTTGCGTAAACGTTGTCTTGGTATAGAATCAAAAGCTGAAGTATAGTCCACAAAACACATCGAACATACTTCTTACCCTTTTCTAAGTTGAACACTATTTTTTGATACAGAACAGCAACAGCATCTAAAGTGTTTCCTTTGCATCTGTAAGTAAACTGATATAGATCAATATGCTCTTTTATTACAGGCTGAAGTGTAAGTAGTAATAATTCTTCCATTGTTTTGAGGAACGGTGAAAATATTTCAATAGGTCTAAATCTTACATTCTTATCACCAGATGCTTTCTTGGGAATAGGAATTATTTTCATCTTTCTCCACATTTTCAATATGAGATTAGATGAGAAGGATCTGTTAAGGACAGTTGTAAGCGGATGACATAGCACGTCAGCACACTTTTTAAAAAGGATATTTGAGACACCATCCAATCCCAAACATCGAGATGAATTAAGCGACAGGAGACATCTTCGTACATCAGTTTCAGTAAAGGTAGGAACACAACTATTATTTAAACCCGTGGATAGAAAGAGCATTACATTAAATGACTGACGTACAAAGGACGTATTTAAGTCACAAACATTCAGTTAGTTATCGCTTACAAACTGTCTGTCACCTGTTAATTTTTTAAGAGTTTTCACATAGTTGTAGAGCTTTTCCAAGACGAGAGTTTTTGAGTAAACATACAGTTGAGACGTCTAATCTCTAGGTTTATCAGGCCAGTTAGCTTACGAACTTCATTAGAGTTCTTCTCCTTGTAAATTCTTTCTTTCATATTTCGTAGTCGTTTTAGTTGTGTAGATGTAAATCGATCAAAACTTACAAAAATGGTTTCAGTGGGACAGCAAATATCAAAACAGAATTTAAGGTAACAAGTGATAACATCAGTAGTGTTTTCGAGTGAGTCATCTGTAAATAATTCCCAGTTAGTTGTATGAAACATGCCTTTCAGATTTTGGATATTTACTTCTGAGCAATTTCTATATTTGACTTTCTTGGTTTAATGTAAGAATGTACTCTTCCCATGCTTTCCATATACTTTAGGTAGAACATGAATTATACAGTAATCCGAGCTAGAAAATAGAGTACGTTTAAGAGTCGCATATATACCCACATCATTAATGAAGCGGAGTTCTAAATGAGCATCCAAACGGATAGGAAAATCTGCTAAACTTTATTGACCTAGTGATGTAAGGAAGCTACAGTCATATGAATTGAAATCACGACATACAACTGAAAGTGAATCACTAAGGGCGGTCACAGCAAACTCAATGAATTCGTCAGCAAAACAGATAGTGAAGATGATGGGCAATCTGTAGTTACGTAGATGTTGATAGCATAAACATATTTGTATTTATTCAGATGTTTTGGACGACATCTTAGAGTTAGACAGTTGATAAAGTCATTTGAAAACTTAAAACACACAAACGATGATCAACACCAGTTTTTTTTTAAACGTAGCTACACCGCCACCTTACCTTTTTTATTGTTTGATCGATTTTGACTATAAATTTTTAAAATACGTAGTGATACTAGACAGTCATCCTGTAAATCATTTAACCAATATTCTTGAATTGTGATGACAACACAATTACGATACATATTGGGACATAATAGGAATTGCAGATTGTTCGATTTGTTGATTAGTGATCGGCAGATAGAATTTAGCAGCTCGGGAATCGACATACAATTGATGTTCATTCTTTTTAGCGCATACTGCTAACCACCACGATGTCTTTTATAGTACTTTTTTGTAATTTGTGCAGAGAAAAGTCGTAGGCTTTTCATAAAAGCGCCTGAATAGGTAACGCGATTAACGGACATAATTATAAGTTGAAGCAAATAAAAAACAGATAACTTGCTGGAATAATCAGATGGCAGAAAAATTTAGCCCAGATATTCAAGCAGGCCACCGAGATTCATACTTGTGTCACTGTTTTTCAGTTGTCACTAGTAGTCGAACGTCATGGACTTTGTTTCATTTATTGGTTTGAGAAAACGTAAAACATTCTAATATAATATTGCTTGGTGTTATATAATTTATTATACCGATTTTCAAATAAGTGATGCAATAAAGTACATTTTTGAGCAAGTAGATCATTTTTAAATAACGTCCATAGACAATCTTCCTGATGGCAATTCACATTTGGTTTAAGGAATCAACATGACCGTCAAAAAAATAAAGAGCGGGAATGCAGTACAACAACATGACATACATTTGAATTACTGAAGTCAGACACAGAAGTAACTGCGAACTTGCTTCAAGTTCTCTCCAGAAAGATTTAGCGGGAGGAATGAGGGCCAATGTGCTGAATAGGAAGACAACCGATCGAAATAGCAAACAAATCAGATAGGAGCGAACGCAAACAAGAAACCTATAAATAATTTTATTGTATGAAAGCCAGTTATGACGAGTGTTTTTCAGCTATTTGACTGCTTGCATAGCTGCTTCGAATAATAATCTATTAGAATCATGATCTACAACTGGAAAATGATGTGTCAGTTTAATGCAGTGGATCTTCAGATTATGATAAACGTAGTATGGAAGATTCTGATTTCGATATTGGTCGACAAATGTTTACAGTTGAACATGTTTTCTAACTACAGAAACGCTGTTCTAGCCTTTTCGATCCGTGCCTCCATATGTATATGAGATTGAGGATGGTACCGGTATTCAGTGTTTGACAACGCTTCTACCAGTAACACCTTCTAATATACTTTGTTACCACCGAGAGAAATCAAAAGACAGAGTCGAGGAGATCGAAAGAGTGTATTTGGCAATAACCAATATA